GGGTAGAGTGCCATGGCATCACGCTCACAGCAACCTCCAATTCCTGGGCTCAAGCGAGTCTCCTGCCTCAGCCTCCCAAGTAACTGGGACCACAGGCGCCCGCCACAACGCCTGGCCATTTTTTGGTTGCAGCCATCATTGTTGTTTGGCGAGCCCGGGTTGGGGATTCGAACCTGCCACCTTAGGTGTATGTGGCTGGCGCCTTAGCCACTTGAGCCACAGGCGCCAAGCCCTTTTCCTTGATTTCATGTGCCCCATGCTCCAGCCAGGATGTCACCCCCTGAAGGGGCCCCAGTAGGTGACTCATCCTGACCTTCCCACCTCCCTACCTTTGCCCGCATGCTTCCTCCTGCCAGAGATGCCCTCCCTGATCCCCTTTGCCCATGCCACACAGCTGGCAGGTCCTCCATGCTTCAGCAGTCTTCACCCCATTTTATGCACAAGGGAACAGCCTTGGAGGGATGACCTTGATGGGTCTCCCAGCCAAATCATGGCAGAGCTGCAGTCTGAAGTTCCTAGCAGCCAGTGCATCCTGGTGCCCCTTCCTGCTGACTGAGGACAGTTCTCTTGACCCAGCTGGCTCTGCCCTGGCCACCCAGGGCAGAGGGTTGGGATTAGGGCCTGGGCTGCCTGCCTCACTTACCCTAATCCCCCTCAGAGCCCGATCCCAGGCCATCAGCACTAGCTGTGGGGGTGCATAAGCAGCTTTGTGGGTCCCGACAGCGGAGGGTGCTCAGGGTGAGGGCATCTCTGAGCCTTGTCATCTGTCCCACATGGCCACAGATCAGGCAAGGGGGCAGCACAGACCAGACCTAGCCACTGGGCCCCAGAAGCCCCCTGCAAGGGCTGTGGTTCCTGGGAGTAGTGCTGAGGGGCCTCTCCTGACCAAGGGGAGGAGCAGGAAGGAGACGGGGTTCCGAGGGTCCCGGAAGGGCAATGGCAGCTCTGAAGAGCAGACCCCTGTCCACGGCCCTGAAGCCCAGGGGGACAGCAAGAACCCCTCCAGGATGGGAGAGGGACAGAGGGGAGCTCCTCCTGAAGTCCCTGGGCCGGCCTCTCGTCGCCATTCCCACCGGCATCGTCCTGACCCCCAGCATGATGCTGCTAACAGGACATATGGGCCTCTGCTCAACCAAATCTTCGGGAAGGTCAGGTGGGACCTGGGCAGGGCTGGAGCACCTGGGGGTGGGGGTGGGGACTCACACCCCTCAGGCTTAGGCCACCCTGCCCCTAAGTACTAGGCCAACTGCCTCTTTTCCCCCCAGACCTGTCATCCTGGGCTGTGAAGCAGGGGTGCCACAGTTAGGGTGGGTGGTGATCTCAGGCTGACCTGGGCAGAGCTGGTGCTAGCACCATGGGCTCTGCAGGAGCTTGAGGCGCTGGAGTACGAAGGTGGCTCTCTCCCCCTGGGGCCGTGGGAGTCCAGATCCCTTTGGCTGTCCTATGGGGTGGAGGGGCGGCTGGCCTTGCTGAGGCCAGCATGAAACCAGCATGGGCAGGGGATGGAACAGGGGGGATGGACAGAGCCCTGACTGGCCCTGGACACATGCTGGACTATCCCCTGCAGGACCGTGAGCTGGGCCCCGAGGAGCTGGATGGTGAGTGGCTCTTGCTGCTGGCGGGGGCAGGAGGTATCCTTGAGTCTGGCTGCCTGGGCCTGACCTCCCTTCCCTGCAGAACTCCAGGCTGCCTTTGAGGAGTTTGACACTGACCGTGATGGCTACCTCGGCTACCGGGACCTGGGTGACTGCATGCGGACTCTGGGCTACATGCCCACCGAGATGGAGCTCCTGGAGGTCTCACAGCACGTCAAGATGCGTAGTCAGTAACGGGTCTTCTCTGAGCCTCATGGCTTAGGGGGACAATGAGGCGGTGGTGGGAGGTGGCCTCTGGGCATCTGTCTGGAGTGATGGTGGCAGTGAGAGTGGGTGACAGGACCACATTGGCCCCATAAGATGCAAGGATACCAGGTCCAAGCTCTTGCCTCCTTCCACCCAGGCCCTTCCCTCCTCCCTGGCCCAGGTCCCCCTGACTCAGGGACAAAGTGCTCTCTGCAGGCATTAGCTGTCTGGTGCTCTCCCACTCCTCTCTCTGACCCTGCCCCTGTGCCCTGGTGGCAGCTGCTGGAATTGAGGTCATCCTGGCGTGCTCTTTGTGACTAAGTGTCTGATGGGCAGCCAGTGTGAGCTTGTCACTAGCTGGTTTGTCCTCAGGGAAATATACTTCCATAATTCTAGTACATTAGCATTTTTCCCTCACAATTTCCAAAATGGGGATGTGACTTGAAGTGAGGTGAGCAGCTGGTGCCCTGCTTCTCTTTTTCCCTTGAAGCCACTGGTGTTTTGTACCCTGATGGCCCCTTGGCACCGAAGCACCAAGATAGTAGGACTGCTCTAAGCCCCACAGAGCAGTCCTACCATCCCCATCCTGGGTCCAGGAAGGGAAGGTTAGCAAGTCACTTGATACCCCAGGCAGAGCCAGGATCTGAAGCCAGGGCTTCTGGCTTCAAAGCTTGGTCTCTTTCTCTCACCCTTGGGTACTTCACCAAGAGCAGAAGCAGCCCTGGCCCCTCAGTCCGTGGGCATGGACGCAGGTGTTCCCTCCTGGGTGTGAAGCCTGAGGGTGGGGGGTGCCTGGGCCTTATGACATCTTTTCTTGGGCCCCAGTCCTCATCACTCTGACGTTCTGCCTGGTCCACAGTGGGTGGCCGTGTGGACTTCGAGGAGTTTGTGGAACTGATAAGCCCGAAGCTGAGGGAGGAGACAGCACACATGCTGGGAGTGCGGGAGCTGCGTATTGCCTTCCGAGAGGTGCACAGCCTGGTCGCAGGGGGCAGTGGGTGGCAGCTAAAGGGACAGGTCAGAGAGCCTTCACAGCTGGGGGAACTCAATCCCAGATGGGGCCCATCTGGGAGACTTCCTGCAGCAGGAGGCGTGCTGTCTTGCCAGTGGAGGATGAGAAAGGTTTGGGTGGACAGAGAAGGAGGGTAGGGGAGCATTTAGGCACAGGCAGTGGCAAGCGTGGAGCTGGGTGCAGATGCTGGGGCACTTTGGGTGGGAGGGGTTGAGCCCTGCTGGGACTTTAGTTTGACAGAGACAGAGATGGACGAATCACAGTGGCAGAGCTGCGGCAGGCTGCACCAGCTCTGCTGGGGGAGCCACTGGCAGGCCCTGAGCTGGATGAGATGCTCCGAGAGGTGGACCTCAATGGGGATGGCACCGTAGACTTTGATGGTGAGTTTCCCTCCCAGACAACCTTCTTTTCCCTCCAGTGTCCAGGCTGAGTCTAGCATCTCCTGGGACCCCCACATGGATCTGCCCAAAGCCCACCCTTCTCTCCTACAGAGTTTGTGATGATGCTGTCCACCCACTGACGCTGCAAGAGTGCAGCTCCTTGCCCCTCGGGCCCAGCACCCCAGCAGGACTAAGGCTGCACACCCTTCCCCAAGAGGTTACAGGATGGAAGAGACCCAGCTGCCCCCAGACTTCTAACACCTGGTAACACCTGGCAACGTGGGGCCTGAGAGTCTGCTTGTTACGCCACCTGCCCACCTTCATCCTCACCTCCCCCTCCTTGAGCTGCAGGAGAACAACTGCTTACCGCTGCCCACTGTTCCCCAGGGGGAGCAAGATCTCTAGACCCTTGGGAGGTAGGGAGCTCCCTGGTACTGGCAGCTTCAAAGGTAGGCAGTGTTGGGAGGATCCCTAGTAACATGGTGTATTGAGAAGTTGGCCAGACGCCTCCCACTACTTAGATATATAAAGTGATTTTTATTTAAAGCCAATTTGAAAGATAGAAAGGAATGACCCCAAAGATCAAAGATAGAAATCAAGCTAGGGTGTGGAAGGGAGCTGACACTGTGGTTTCACACGTGGACATAGGCTTGGGCACTTGGGCTCTGACACTGGTGAGTGATAGAAGACCCATAGAGTCTGGAAAACAAGCAGTGGCCTTCCTGGAAACATTTCAGGGTCTTAGAGGGCTACCCATTCTTGAAACAGGACTAAAACATATCTCCACTGACTAGCCTGACAAAGTGGCAAGGAGGCAGATACAAGTTGCCCTGCAGAACCTGACCTGCACTTCAAGTAGGAGTGTGGTCTATCTTCAGAGTATGAAAAACTGGAAAAAATCAGAACCCCCTCCAAAACAAAAAACTGCTGAGAAGGGGCACTCTTTCAACCCACATGGACACATGGAACTTCAAAAAAAGAAAAACAAAAACCCTGCTTTCTCCCAAAAATGAACTCATGATAAAAATTCTGGGTTAAATAAGGAAGCAAACCACCATGAGGGAAGTTAGACAGAGGCCAAGACAGGAGAACTGGCTTCTCACAGTGTAAATGATAGAACATTTAGAATCTAAAAGAGACCACAAAATAAATTTAAGAAAACAATAAAAGAAGGAAGAGAGATCAATATGCAGTAGCATCACAGTATGAAAATAGAACAGGAAGATTTTAAAAATAGCCCAACAGCACTTCCAGAAATAAGAAGCACAGCCATTAGAATGAAAAAAGAAATGGATAAGTTAAACAGCTGATCAAACACACATTTAAAAGATTAATGAACTGGAAGCTGTATCTGAGAAATTCACTTACAATGCAGCACCAAGAGACAAAAAGACAGAAAATATTAAAGGGTAGTTAAAAGTCACTGAGAGTCTCAGAAGGAGGAAATACAGAGAGTGGGCATGAGGCTATATATAATCAAAGAAATGGCTCGGCGCCTATAGCTCAACCAGCTAAGGTGCCAGCCACGTACACCTAAGGTGGCGGGTTCGAATCCCCAGCCCGGACCCGCCAAACAACAATGACGGCTGCAACCAAAAAATAGCCGGGCGTTGTGGCGGGCGCCTGTGGTCCCAGCTACTTGGGATGCAGAGGCAGGAGACTCGCTTGAGCCCAGGAGTTGGAGGTTGCTGTGAGCTGTAATGCCACGGCACTCTACCCAGGGGGACAGCTTGAGGCTCTGTCTCAAAAAAAAAAAAAAAAAAAAAAAAAAAAAAAAAAAAGAAATGATAGCTGAAAATTTTCCATAAAGCACTCCAGAGACTGGAAGTGCTCATACTGAAAGATCAAATTGAAGCCTGAATGGGATAAACAATAATAATAATTAAAAAAAAAGCTAGATAAATCCCAGTAAAACTGTAGGATACAAAAAAAAAAAATGAAAATCTTGGCTCAGTGCCTGTAGTACAGTGGTTATGGTGCTAGCCACATACACGGAAGTTGGCAGGTTCGAACCCGGCCCAGGCCAGCTAAACAACAATGACAACTGCAACAAAAAATAGCTGGGCATTGTGATGGGCACCTGTAGCCCCAGCTACTTGGGAGGCTAAGGCAAGAGAATCACTTAAGCCCAAGACTTTGAGGTTGCTGTGAGCTGATGCCACAGCACTCTACTGAGGGCAACATAATGAGACTGTCTCAAAAAAAAAAAGAAAAGAAAGAAAAAGAAAATCTTGAGAGAAAATTCAGATTACTTGACAAATACTTTTTAATGGCAACAACAGATGGCAGAAAACAATGAATAAATTGTTTAGGATACAGAGAAAAAATAATTGTCAGCCAGGAAACGCATACTTAGCTCAATCATTCAAGGATGAAGGTGAAATATAAACTTTTTTTTTTGGAGACAGTTTTATTGTGTCACCCTTGGTAGAGTGCTGTGGTGTCACGGCTTATAGCACCCTCCAGCTCTTGGGCTTGGGTGATTCTCTTGCCTTAGCCTCTCAAGTAGCTGGGATTACAGGCACCTACCACAATGCCCCACTAATTTTTCTTTTTTGGTTGCAGTTTGGCTGGGGCTGGGTTTGAACCTGCCACCCTCCGTAGGCACCCTACTCACTGAGCCACAGGTGCTGCCCAAAATATAAACTTTTCTTTTTAATAAACAAAGGCTGAAAGGGTTTCCCACCCATATTCCCTCAATGAATCATTGAAGGGATGGTTTCGGTAAGAAGGAAATTAAATCCAGAATGAAGGCAGAGTATGTGCTACACAGTGGTCAGGAAAGAAATCAGTAAACATATTGGTAGATCTAAAGAAACATTAACTGTAAACAAAAATTGGTTTGGGTGGTTGGGCACTCATTGCTCAGTGGTTAGGGCACTGGCCACATGCTCCAGGGCTAGTGGGTTCAAACCCCGCCTGGGACTGCTAAACAACAGCAAAAAAATATAGCTGGGCATTGTGGTAGGTGCCTGTAGTCTCAGCAACTAGGGAGGTTGAAGCAAGGGAATCACTTGAAGTTACTGAATCACAGTTTGAGGTTACTGTGAGCTATGATGCTATGGCACTCTCTGTCTCAATTAAAAAAAATTGATTTGGGAGATTTAATAACAAGGAGAGGGCGGCACCTGTGGCTCAGTGAGTAGGCTGAGCTCCATATACCAAGGGTGGCAAGTTCAAACCTGGCCCTGGCCAAACTGCAACAAAAAATAGCCGAGTGTCGTGGCGGGCACCTGTAGTCCCAGCTACTCAGGAGGCTGAGGCAAGAGAATCGCCAAAGCCAAGGAGTTGGAGGTTGCTGTGAGGTGTGATGCTACGGCACTGTATTGTGGGCGATAAAGTGAGACTCTCAAAAAAAAAAAAAAAAACAAAAAAAAAACAAGGAGAGACTAAAATAATAAAAACAGAAGATGAAAAGGGATACTTTAGACATGCTGAAATACTTTTTGTCATTGCTTTAGAGCAGCAGTTCTCAACCTGTGGGTGATGACCCACAGGAACTGTATTAAAGGGTCCCAGCGTTAGGAAGGTTGAGAACCACTGCTCTAGAGGAGGATAGATTCATTGATTAACTTTAGACCTTGTTAACCATTTAAGGGTAACCATTATTATAACAGAAATAGAATGTTCCATTCAATAGTTAAATAAACAGAGGATGAAAAGGGGAAATGAAGAATTTTTTATTAAACCAGTAGGCTGAGAAAGAGAAAAAAAAAACAACAAGGAAAAACAAAGTACATAGAAAACATCAAGACAGAAGGTAGAAACAATCCTTTAAAAAATTAGTAATTACAGGGCAGTGCCTGTGGCTCAGTGGGCAGGGCGCCAGCCCCATATACTGAGGGTGGTGGGTTCAAACCCAGCCCCGGCCAAACTGCAACAAAAAAATAGCTGAGTGTTGTAGTGGGTGCCTGTAGTCCCAGCTACTCAGGAGGCTGTGGCAAGAGAATCTTCTAAGCCCAAGGAGTTGGAGGTTGCTGTAAGCTGTGACTTCATAGCACTCTACCAAGGGTTAATAAGTGAAGCTCTGTCTCAAAAAAAAAAAAAAAAGGTAATTACAATAAATATAAGCAGACTAAATTTGTCAGTTAAAAGTCAGAGTCCCAGACATAAAAGAAAGTATCAACATTAGATTGGGTTCCTGCAAGTAACAAAGGACAAAAAGAACAATGTTTTAACCTGGATAGAAATTTATTTCCTCACAAGAAAAGTCTGTGAAATACAGCTGTACACAATTATCAAGGGCCCACAATCCTTCTGGGTGTCTGTTCTGCCATCTTTTGAATGTGCCCACATTTGCTTATTTCCCCAGTGGCAGGAACAAAGAAGAAAGGAGTAAAGAGTATGCACCACCCTTATTAGTCAGAGCTTATCAAATGGTAAGTCTACCTGCAAAGGAGGCTGGGAAATGGAATCTTCATTTGGGCAATCATATGCACAGCTAAAAACCAGGGTTCTTCTACTATAAGGCACATAGCAGATAGAGAAGGGTAGATGTCAGGCTCTTCCCCATTATGTGAGGAGACATACTCAAAACACAATGACAAATGGAAGGTTGGAAGTGATGGCTTGGAGAAAGGACTAGGAGAAAATTAATAAAAGAAAGTGCCACTACCAGAATATCAGACAAAAGTGGGTTATGAGGCAAAAGCATTAAGGCTAAATTGAGTCAAAATTCACTAAGGAAATCTAATGTTCCTAACATGTATGCTCCTATTAATGTCTTCAAACTAAGAAGGAATTATATATATTTAGAGTTTAGATCTTCATTATACCCTGAGAGGTATTGCTGTCAGTCCAATCTGGATTAGGTAAATGAACCAGCAAAAATCAAACTCGTTGGTCACACAAAAACGTTAAACATCAATATTCACAGTGTCTGTCAAAGTGTTCACATAGAGTAAGGGTCAGCAACTTTTTTCTGTAACGGGTCACATGGTAGGGCGGTGCCTGTGGCTCAGTAGGTAGGGTGCTGGTCCCATATACTGAGGGTGGAGGGTTCAAACCCGGCCTCAGCCAAACTGCAACAAAAAAATAGCCGGGCGTTGTGGCAGGCGCCTGTAGTCCCAGTTACTTGGGAGGCTGAGACTCCTGGCCTAAGCCCAGGAGTTGGAAGTTGCTGTGAGCTGTGTAACACCATTGTACTCTACTGAGGGCAATAAAATGAGATTCTGTTTCTACAAAAATAATAATAATAAAATAATAAAGGGTCACATGGTAAATAATTTAGGCTTTGAGGGCTGCATGGTCTCTGTTGCAACTGTTTACTCAAACCTGCCATTGTAGTGTTAAAGTCAATATATACTCAAATGTAGTTGTGTTAGTAATTTAATTAATAATAGAACAATTTTATTGGCAGTGAAATTTTATTTTTACATAATTTTATGTCATGAAATCATATTATTTTTTCGTATTAATTATATTAAGTGCTCTACATTTTCCAACCATTACAAAATATAACAAACATTTTTTGGACTATACCTTGCTGATTCCTGATGCAAACTTATGGGGAATCATCACTTCTAGAATAACTTTTTATTAAGATTGTAGAATGATACAAAGTTTTAAGTATATTACTGACTCTTTGTTAATTGTCTATTTGCTCACTTTCAATAAATGGTTTTTGCAAGTTTTCTTTTTTACCATGTTTGTTATATTTTTTTTTTTTTTTTT